CGGTGGTGTTTTCAAAATAAGAGAAGAGTTCTGCTGTTGTAAAGTCATTCGTTGTCTAGTTCGTGTGACATGCATGAATATCACTCTCGTCTCTCAAAGTCAGTATCTAATTTTTGTCTACTCACGAAGTGTATACAAACTTAGGTGTATTTTTAGGAGCGTTGTTGCAGTTAGTATAGAGAATTACCGGTTCCTTCTTGCAGCACAGCAGCTCATATAATGAATTACCAAATCAGCTAATTAATGGAGCTGGTAGGTGGTCAGTTACAATTTTGAGTACCTAATTTAGTAAGGTGCCGAGAGCTCAGGTCATGTGCTCCATTTACCGCAACTCGAAATTTCACCCAGGTGTCCCAGTTGTTAATAGGACTATTCCTTTAGAAGATTCACAGTGTCTAACAAAGCTGCACAGGATATACCTGGGTAAGTTTACATAGACATGAATTCTAAGTGTGCTTCGCGGCTAGTACCGAGCTGTTAGTAAGGCGAGGACATGCAGCTTAGGTGCCAACCTTTCAGATAGCATTTTCTGCTGTTGATCGAAGCTCCATATTAGACAATGGGAGTAGAATATGGAAACTTGAGTCTGCTAAAGTACGACTCCGGTAGGCAGTTCAGGCTACTGAAATTTTTGGAGCTTATACAACTTTTACTCCGTAAATAGCCATTCGCTCTTGAATGGTGGGGAGTTTCACCACTCCTATAACTTTTGTAATTCTTGTTTCGACAAAAAGTTCCGAAAAACGATGGAGCACCGCTCAAATGCTGCACGGTGATACGAAAGATGTCAAAAATTAGCTCCGATTAAAATCCTCATAATTTTTTTGGATACTTACCGAAAATCTGCCTGTGACATGAATTTTCCAGGTGAATCCAATATTTCTCCTGTTCGATTAGGGATCAGCTGATATTTTAGTCGTTTTCTCAGGTAATTTCGGTGCCTGTCGATCAGGATACGGTTGGCATAATATCTCCTTCTTGAACTTGCGCAAAGTGTTCCGGAAGCTTTTGTGCGAGTGTACTTTCTTTTTTTAACCCTTGCTCCCTGTCCACTCGATCCAAACGTGTCCATATGGATACTCTTATGTTCATCCATATCAGCTGTAAAAGGTATAAATATCTGGGACGCATGGAGGTCAATGGGAGGCTGAATAACTTTCAAACCAGGAACATTGGGAGAATGAATCTCCACCATGTGTGGCTGCATCACAACTGGATGTGTTGTTTTGTTTAGGCCAGGAGCACCCGGAGAGACGATATTGCGAGAGTTGATATATTCCAGTGTGTGTTTTGCAGATGACTTGTCATTTTTTATCCAAAAGCGGAAACAAAGTGGAAGGCAGTGGTAGGTAGCTTTTTCAGAATTCAGTTGGGTGGTCTTAATAGAAGTTTTTATGGAGGACAGCTTTCTCTTAGCTATGCACAATACTGCCAGAACTGCTGCAATAACTGTCAGGAAAGAAATCAAAATCAAACTGAAATGCAAAAACATCACACCGTTAAAGACCAACCTTAAACTGTAAACATTTGGTTACTAGTGAAAAATTTGGATCTAAAGAAATACAACCGGCTCGTCTGGTGGCACATTTTTAACTGCCGTACGTTACTTGATAAATCCTGGAATTTTCTAGCCAACCAAGGATCCACCAACAGACCAATCAGAGGTGAGATTGGGTCTGTCATACATCGCGCGCATAGACTGAGTAATTCAAGCGAATGAACGCTTTTCCATGGGAGCGAAAACGCAATATGCCTGACAAAATACGGAGTAGCTTCCAAAGTCAATAGTTATTTTTGCGAGAACCACGTCAATAGCAACCAGCTAGGTCACTGCATTTATACTTCGATTAGGCGGCCGAAATGTACAAGGCCCGTCGATTATGTCATCCTGGCAGAAACCCGTAACAACACTTGGGAAATCCTCCGGATGAAATTTTGTATATTAGTGCTGAATTTAGTGCACAGTGAGGTACTACACTTGCAACGAACTCTTCGTCAGTGTCTAACTGTCCATTAGGTCCAGGAACTTAATATTGCTACAGTGAATTCAGTTGTCTATATTTTATCAAGTATATGATACAAAAGTTCAATGAAGTCCGCTCATCCTCGAAGATGTGGAAACTGCTTGGGTGAGGGGCAGTGAATCGCGGCCGGATGCTCAAGTTCAATCGGGCACAGCTTCATTGGTGCAAGGCATCCCAGGACAAATTCGTGATGAACCTTTGTTTCTCAGATTTGATAACTCGCCATTAATGTATGGTAACTCCTGTGAAACACGGTCATCTACATTTCAATCCTTGTGAGAAACTTGCTTGATTTCTAAGAAAAGTAATCTACAATGTAGAAGTTTGTGTAAGAAATAAAGTATAAAAGAGTGGCTGGTGTTTGCGAGGAAGTGAAAATCATGGGTACTATTTAGTCAGCATTGAATGATCAAAACTGTTTAGTCATTAAGACTTGGGGACTTCAAACTATTTTTCGCCTAGAAAAACGGATGACTGAAGTGCTCGGGTGTAGCAGCTTCCCTGCCAGCGCATCCTTAGACTGTGGATAGGGAACAGTTTCTTTCACATTTTGAGTAAATGATCAATGAGAATTCGGTAATGTAATCCTTGCCTACTTTGGAAAATTTAGCACAAAATCTGTTACTTTTATGGGCTCTCCTCTTTTTCCTTTAATAATTTTGCTGCTGGTTGTTCCTTTTACTTTAGCCGTTGTTTTTGTGTTGTCTTTAAGTTGAAATATTGGATTTGGTTTACTCCATCCAATTCCAAACGAGCACCTGAACAGTCAGGAATAGTACGCTTTCCAACCAGCTATGATGTCCGGTTTCCGTAAGCTTTTGACGAGTCAGGGCTTTCTGGAGAAAAGGAAATTCCCCTAATAATCCGAAGAACAGCATTATGCTTACAACCAAGTGTTTTTACCGCTTTTTATCCAGTGATCATTATTCAGCTTCCACAAGAAATCCGAGAGATCACTTTTTGCAATTTGAATTTTTTCCACCAGATATGGCTTGACGGATCCAGAAACAGTTTGCCAAACCACGCAAAAGATTACGTTGGGGTTTTCGCAATCTAATATTGCCTGCTCCTCCCTCTCAAGTATCTTGAATTTAGCTCGACGCCCACATTTTCATTTTGGTTCACTGGTCTCTAGCTAACCCCGCAGAGTTTGGTCTGACACTTTCTTGGTATTTCTGGTATTTCGCTACACCACCAGGTGTTCCACTTTTGCAATGCAATCGTAGGTTGTTCTTCCCCAATAGGATAATGAAGTCCCCTCAATGTCATGAGAAACTTCGTTTTCACCGACCAAACTATGTTGCATTCAGCGTCACTCACCAATGTGTTGAGTGTTGAATCCCCGTTGTGGGGCAATAACACGAGCAATTAAATATCCAATTCTTGGAAGAATTCACATGCGTGGTAGAATTTTTCAGGGATTAAAGAGAGAGTTTGCAATTTTTGGCCAAGGATGTGCATATACAAACAAAGTACGCTGTCACCATCCATAACCTGCCCAAATCCAGATGCCCTAAACAAAAGGTTTTGGGTTCCTAAATGTTGAGCAATTTGTGTGTTGTAGTATGTTATTAAGAATTGTTTGGATACTCTTCGAAAACTGACTGTACGACTGATTGTATCCACCATAAGAATAATAGATTGCTGATACACAGGTGCCTGCAAGCATAAAAAGGCCTCTTGGGAGCTGAAATCGAATTGGTATACCTATTAAACTGATGCTTACCGGTGATTCTCGCAGGCAATCTTCTGGACGCTGCAAATTCAACTTCTTATTTTTAGTGAGCCTTTTCTGTGGAATGCGTTTCGAAATGTAGCTTTACGGCAGCATCCGTGTTCTGCCAGGCTTGTTTAATAAAAGCTGTAATTTCGACATATTGGCCTTTGAGTCTCCATGTAACACGTGCTCTCCGCCACTCACGTGCATCTTGATTCTCCTTATCTAATAAATTCCCAATGTTCAAACCGATATGCTTAAGCTATGAAGGACGGTTAATTCACAAACAGCACACATTCTTTTTTATTGCAATTTAGAAGAGAATACACCAATATCCTCACACCATAAAAGTGCCAAACTGTAAGATGTTGTCTTCATTTCACCTTGTAATATGGTTTACCATGCTATAAGGGATTATGGCCTTTATTCTGTCTGCTCCCCGTTGGCACTTGCGGCAAGAATAAACCCAAAGGGACCAGCACTTCATTAGGCATATCACTCTTAGCCGTCTCAGCACACACGCGATCACGATAATAGGTTGGTATTTTCCATATATATATATATATATATATATATATATATATATATATATATATATATATATATATATATATATATATATATATATATATATATATATATATATATATATATATATATATATATATATATATATATATATATATATATATATATATATATATATATATATATATATATATATATATATATATATATATATATATATATATATATATATATATATATATATATATATATATATATATATATATATATATATATATATATATATATATATATATATATATATATATATATATATATATATATATATATATATATATATATATATATATATATATATATATATATATATATATATATATATATATATATATATATATATATATATATATATATATATATATATATATATATATATATATATATATATATATATATATATATATATATATATATATATATATATATATATATATATATATATATATATATATATGAATTTATCGCACAAAGAAGCAGCAAATGACCATCTATATAGTTTAGACGTGTTCGCGGATGGTCAGAATGTATGGCAAATCTCAAGGCCGAAATTGGAGTGGACCCTACATACCACTCCAGATTTCTGCATCGGTTGCCTTCAAACGAGTGAGCACATAATAGCTCCTAGTTCTCGGTATCAGTTGTTGTTTTAGTGAGAAGCCCCGTTGCTACAGGCCTGGAACCATCCCTCTTCTCCTACGACTGCAACGTGGCCAGTTGTGCCTCGGGCAGTTACCGGGCCAGCTCCTCCACACTCAACCGGCCAGTTGCTCGCGCGCACCCGCAACTGGGCACCAAGCGCCGGCTGCACACCTTCGACGAACTGATCCGACAGCAAATGGTGGCGCGACACTCCGTCCAACCCCAACAAAGCGCGTTCCATCAACTGCTGCAAGCCGGGGAAGAACATGGTCGGGTCAGACCTCAGGCCCCATCCCGGCCGTCTTGAACCCCCTCATAGCCTCCTGGCGGTCGGCCGGTGTGTCGAACTCCCCAGCGAAGGCCTTCCTCCTTTTATTTGTGTGTGAAAGGCCTTATTTCAGCATTCAAATGTTGCGTGCTTTGAATTAATTAGCGGCCAAATTAGTGAGAATTTCGGCAGAAGAAATAGTTGGTCACTAAGCTGTTCGACAATTAATATGGATTACAAACAGCCTTAAAAATAACTGTATGATTTCGCTTATTCAGATAGTCTATTGGGGACCAAATTAAAACGACTGTCCAAATTTTCATAATCTTAGTATTACTTCACTAAACCAACAGGTTTCGCTCAGTTGAGCAGTTGTTTAATCGGATTTTGCTCTATTGGTCAGAATGTATGGCAAATCTCAAGGCCGAAATTGGAGTGGACCCTACATACCACTCCAGATTTCTGCATCGGTTGCCTTCAAACGAGTGAGCACATAATAGCTCCTAGTTCTCGGTATCAGTTGTTGTTTTAGTGAGAAGCCCCGTTGCTACAGGCCTGGAACCATCCCTCTTCTCCTACGACTGCAACGTGGCCAGTTGTGCCTCGGGCAGTTACCGGGCCAGCTCCTCCACACTCAACCGGCCAGTTGCTCGCGCGCACCCGCAACTGGGCACCAAGCGCCGGCTGCACACCTTCGACGAACTGATCCGACAGCAAATGGTGGCGCGACACTCCGTCCAACCCCAACAAAGCGCGTTCCATCAACTGCTGCAAGCCGGGGAAGAACATGGTCGGGTCAGACCTCAGGCCCCATCCCGGCCGTCTTGAACCCCCTCATAGCCTCCTGGCGGTCGGCCGGTGTGTCGAACTCCCCAGCGAAGGCCTTCCTCCTTTTATTTGTGTGTGAAAGGCCTTATTTCAGCATTCAAATGTTGCGTGCTTTGAATTAATTAGCGGCCAAATTAGTGAGAATTTCGGCAGAAGAAATAGTTGGTCACTAAGCTGTTCGACAATTAATATGGATTACAAACAGCCTTAAAAATAACTGTATGATTTCGCTTATTCAGATAGTCTATTGGGGACCAAATTAAAACGACTGTCCAAATTTTCATAATCTTAGTATTACTTCACTAAACCAACAGGTTTCGCTCAGTTGAGCAGTTGTTTAATCGGATTTTGCTCTATGCTTCATTCAGCGCTTTCCTTGATTTGTCGGTGGAAACACGAGAAGTGAACAACGTGACCTATATAACAGTAATAGTGTTTAAAATATGATATATAAGTATACGAGTTTGTTGCACCGATCGGCCCTACAAAAAAGTCAAGCTTTTATGGTGCTGACCTTGAATTGCATTGCTGAACTTGCGGCTCGGGAGACCACTACATTTAACCATCCACTGATCAAAGCGTGTTTAGGATTTTCAGCTCAAAACTGTGTTGTAAAACAGACTGAAGCAAACACCCACATTTTTAGAAATCAGTGTTATATGCCTGTTCATGAATGCGCATGAGCAAGCATGTATTCTTCGGCGCGTCGGGAGCAGAATACTACTTTTAAGGTAGCTGAGGTTCCAGCAACCTTATAAAAAGTGTTACATTAACGAATGCAGCCCAAATCCACTCCAAATAAATCTTTACTTCGTCTACATGCAAAACATTTACTTGGAGAAATTCATGAGCAGGAGAGTTTTATTTGAATCCTCTGGTAGCAATAGTAGATACACCAGCAAGTTGTTGACATTTACACATAAACAGTCTTCTAGATGCCAAATTTGTGGTCTCATAACCAAAGCTGTCCATGGTGGTATCAAATTCAAGTTCCTAACTTGTAATCCTTTATTCATGGACTGTTGGATTTACGCACCCTTTTTCATACACGTGTTATAGGAAATACGGTGTCGAATTTGTTAATTAAGCCGAGTCGAAATCCATCACTTCTACTTCTTCCGGGTAAAGTAACTGTGCTTAACAAGCACCTCAAATAAATTTTATCACTAACTAATTAGTTTGACTTACTTATCTTCTTTCCTCAAAATTCGCTGGCATATGATCTATTGCACTGTGATATGACTGGAATCCTGACAGCCATCTGCTCCCTGGAATGAGCAGCGTATACATTATGCAATGCAGACGAAAGCATATTCATGTAGCTGTCAGCAGACAGTCAATTGCAACAGCCGACACCATCATTCGAGGTCAAACACAATGCGACTAAACGAAAAACGAATGAAAATCAAGTGTTACCCTCGGATTGGCGTCATTCTGAGTCCGTCACTGGGTAGAGGAAAAGAAAACTTCCGGCCTGCTAGTAACGCCCATAGTAACAGAAGGAAGATTCGTGGCAAAGATATAAACTATGAGATATTTGATTTCAATATACACCTCAAAACACTGGAATCTTATATAGCGCTAATTCACTTACTGTTACCGATACTTTTTGCTCATATTTTCCGGTTTCAGATGGAATTTTTCAAATTGTATGAGACTGTACTAACAAGTATTTAAATTTCGTTCTAAAGACCCCTGAATAGATTATGTTCAAATTCGTCGACCAGTCCATCATGGCTAATCTTCCTGGTATATTTCGCTTAGGAACTGATTGGCACATCCGTCACTGTGTGTTGTCAGGTGCAACAAAAACAAAGACAGCTGTTGAATTTCCAGCCAAGATTTCGTCCTGGAGGTAAAATTCAGTATACGCTGAAAGGCCAAAAAGCACTGTACGACTGTTTCATTTGTGCTAGAATCGATCGGCATGGTGCATTTTGCAAAAACTCAAACCCGCGTTTTTTGGCTAGTAGAATATGATTATATCGCTTGACCTTGAAAATCTTTTGAACAGTGCGGTTAACTCATGTTCAGACGGAGTTTAGCACCATTTATTCTGCACTAATGCAATTCATTGTCAGGTCTTGCCTGGTTTACCAAGGAACGGTTTCTAAGATAAACTTGTGGAATATATTATTTTTTCCAAGCAGACTTCTTAGGGCCTGATGGCAGTATATAGAGACTGAAATCAAATATTCTTGAGATGCACACCTCTCAAGCTGTACAGTGCATCTAATCTTTCTATTATTGGCTGACTGTAATTTAAGAATGAAAATGTGACGGAACAATTTATAATAATAGCATATCATTCTTTAAAGGTAGATGTTTGATTTCAGACTGCTGTTTTTCGGGCAGTTCTCCTTCAGAGTTGCCATAATCTCCACCAAAGACGAAATCACTGGGTGACTGTTTAGTTCTTTTTATGGCCTAATTGAGCTGAGGCTGCGTATCGGTTGCCAACCAGTTGACCTCGTGTCAACTACTGCATGAGGTACAAGCGTTAGCGGCTGTTTTGCAGGCGCACTCTGGATAAACCTGAATTACAATCTTTTAGCGAGCAGACATTTGTAACTGTAGGGACGTGGTTGATCCCTCGGACGTATTAAACGTCCACTGTCGGTCGACTGATTCCCCTTACGTGATTTCCTACCCACGAGAACTTCAAATTGTGACCACTTGCAAGAAACGCGGAATTTATAACCACGTCACCAATCTGGTGGAACATCATCTGAGGCATATAAATGACTCAGGAACATTGCAAATCCTTGCACAAACCTAAAGAAAATCAGATAACGCCCTGGTCCAAAAAGTAGGCGGCAGTGTAATCTAAGAACACTTCTCCGAAGACTTCAGTAAAAAATCAAGGTAATGTCTGTGCCTGGAGCTGTTGACAGATAAATGTTGTATCGTGGGTGGCCGTCTATTGGGTTTCGCCTGCAGTGAGCCTGCCAGACTACGCGATAAGGAGAAGACAGAGAACTCGGGACACGGCTATATTGTCAGGGAAGAACATACAGAGCGTCTGCGTAAATATATAGGATGACTAAATGGCCAAGTATGATCGTTCACTTGTTCGCTCCAATGGTGGTGTTCCGGTCGTGAACACTTTCAGGCCCACTACGCTGGTCGTATGTTGCTAAGCCGTGTTTGGTGCGAGCCGCCAACTCACCTACTTCCCAGACGTGTCGTACCAATGCTGACCTTTGAGATGCGTCACTCTCTGCACATATGCTTTTTACCTGTCTGGGCGCGTCCTGACAATAGACGAACCCGTCTAGGATATCGCCTGATGAGAGTGGTTGAACGCAGTTGCTGTGGTATGGGAACACTGTTGCGCTTCCTTAAGCAAGGTTCATCATACATTATTTTGACTTCTTATTCCAATTTTAAAGTGGAGGGAACGTAGGTGTTGGAGTGGAGTCAGAATGGTCTATTTCGTTGTACTCAGACAGAGAGAATAGGCGATCTCCAAAGGTCAAAGTAGAAGCTTGGGTAACAATCATATCCTGCCGGTACAGAAGGGTTTACCTTGTTAATTAGCCACTTTTGGACACGTTTTTCTGTGTATACCTTTTTGAGGGCGTTGCGTTATTTAAGTCACTAACTACTAAGGATTTCCTTTTAGGAACTGTAGGATGTTCAGAGGGATTTTTTCGAAAGTCCTCGGCTTATTAAACGACAAAGCAAGCTTACAGTGATTGATTAAAAACCGACTGCATTTGCAAAACATCTCTGAGGGAAGGTTCAAGAGGAGGAGCGTTCCGGCGACAAACACTATTTATAGGCAACACACGGAGCCTTCACAATTAGGACTGCAGAATGTTCAAGGTCCATTGTTGTATACGAGCACGAAGAACATATCTTCATGAGAATTCTTCTAAGGGTTTACACTACGTGAAAAAAAGTGAACTGTTTGCGGCAAAACTAAGTGCTATGATTGTTTACTTCAAGGCGAAAGAATCTGAGAACAGTCAACTGCAAAACAGCTAGGATTAAGGTCAAAATTACTTCTGTAGTACGTATTTGTCATTTGTTCGTACATTAATCTGTTCAAATGCCCCCTCATTCTCAGTCCTAGCTGCCAGGTTAGGAGACAGAATATTTTGTCCTTTGCAACAGAGATATCGTTTTGTCACTTTAGCCGACCTATCCTGAAAAGCTGAGTGGCATTGGTAAGAATCATCAGCAGTGCACATCCTATGAAACTCAGGGAGTTCAAAACCTGTCAGCGGCTATAGACTTGACCGTTTGGCCACGAGCGGCCTATCCTTAGTATAATTAGCTCCCACTTGGATACGACAAATCGTCACTTATCCTTCACCCACGGAGACCGCATCACATGGTCATTCATGGACTGACTCAAATGGAAGATTCACTAGTCACATGAAATTAATCTCCCACTGAGCAAATTATAGATTGATGGTTGTGATAGGGTATTTCCTAGTTTGTCTTCATGGTAGTATGGAGAACTTTTAAAGTTTCTGGCAACGATCTCATCCTGCAGGTGGTTAGTCTAATTGTGATAGGTCCTAGTTTGTCTTCATGGTAGTATGGAGAACTTTTAAAGTTTCTGGCAACGATCTCATCCTGCAGGTGGTTAGTCTAAGCTAAAAGATCTAGTACTACCGTATGGATCTTTTATTCTTTGTTAGAAAGTCGTCAAAGGCAGAGTAAATCGGTATACGACCGCCTGATGTGGGTCATATGACTGACGAATGGGGGTGGTACCTCTTGTATGACCGAAAGTTATTAGCACTACTGATTAGACGAAAGTCAAAAGATACATTCTTCAGCTTCTAAGGGGGTTCAAATGTCCATCGAGCTTTGTGAGATGCGCACCGCTGATGATTCTCAACAATGGTGAGATAACTGTGCAGCGCTTTATGAGTTTTCAGGGTAGATTAAATCCACCTACCCAATGAGATATCAGTTTCTGAAAATCACTCCACGGCTTGCGACACAAAATAGTTCAACTAACTTATTTTTGTAACTGTTCGGTC